GGGGGGCCGGCTGCTCTGGCGGCGAGGCGGCAGGCCCAGGCTGGGGTGGCGGTAGCCGAAGCTTACGTTGTCCTGAAGGTGGATTCGAGGACAGAGGAGCCGGTCCCTCCAGGAAGCCCTTTCTGCAAGAGACGCCAGAGGAGGGAACAATTTACCAGCCTGCCCGTCTCACCCCCCAGGCAGCCACGGCCTCGTTCTTGTCCCGCAGTCCGGGCTGAGAGGCCGGCGCCGGCGCCAGCACCAGCACTGCCCCGTCCAGGGCCACCGCCTGCCTCTCCCATGCATCCTGGTCTGGGCGCCCGGCCCCGAAGGAGGCTCTCCTGGCTGTGGGGCTTTATGACAACTCCCTGGATTCGGCGCCTGGGGTTGTTCTCGCTACCCTAAGACAGCACCGGCGTGCCTCGTCTGCCCCCAGCCCCGCCACTGCGTGATGCCCCCAAGAGATGTTAGCTCATTAAATCTGCTTCCCCGCACGTCCCAGCACAAGGGGCATCTTCCCTCCAGCTGGGCTAGGAAGAGGGCAGACACACGGTGGCTGGCAAGCACCGGGACTGGGAAGCCTCATCCCTGGTACTGATGCCTTGAAGGAGGGCACAGATGTAGCAAGCCTCTCTGAACTGGGCAAGGGGATGACTGCAGGACAGGCGGTCCACACGGAGATCTGCCCACCTCCTCCACAAACCGTACATTTGAGGAACTGAGCAATGGAAACACTCAAATCCTACAGCCACCACTGACGTGCCACAGTCCTGCTTCTGCAGACAGGCCCCGATGGGGCAACACTGCTGCTTGGACAGTAGTCTGCTTCCCAGTACCCTGCTCAACTGTGGAAGGTCTTGGCTGAATGCCTCCGTCACTAAACTCCCAAATGACTGGCTGTAGCCGAGTTAAGTGAATATAATGCACGTTTTGTGGGGCGGAAGAGAGGGGTTGCTGTGGGGGTGGTGATGGTCTCCCTGATGAGCTGGCCCACAGCAATTTGCCCAACTGTACAGCAAGCGGATGTTGTTTTTAATGCCAGAAACAACAGAATGAGTTTGATGCCACAGAATGGCTAAAATAGAAACATACTGAGGCAGGCAGGCTGGTTGTGCAACAGAGAACAGATTGGGATGGTGTCAGGAAATCTGAGCCCTGGGCTTCCTGGAGAGGAAGGGGCTTTCACACTCTTTGGAGGAACATCTGATATGAGCCACCCCATGCAACAAAGCACTGCCGGAGACTGGAGAGGAGATGGGGATCACCAGGGGATGGGGGCATCCAGGTCACCAGTTACAAAGGTCCAACCCTGCATGGCCTAGGCAGAATTTAGCTGATGCGTCTCCTGGGATGGAGAACTGTCCTGTCTCACGGTCAGTGATGCCACAAGCATCTAGAAGAGAACTGATTCCAGCCAAGAACCAGCTCCAAAACTAAGGCCCGGAGGCTGCTGCATTAGGGAAACAGAAAGCTCGGCGTCGAGGAAGTGCTCCTCCCTCTGGGAAAGTTCCCTGCACGACAAGGAATGCTCTTATGTGGACAGTAGCTCTGAAAGCTGCCGAGGAGCCAGGATGCTCTGCACTAGTTGGAGAGAGATTCAGCACAGCGAAGGTCTTGAAAGGCCCTTCGTCGTCTGTATCTCACCTCTCGTCTTGCATCCACTCCTAGCCCTAGCCTGCATTCTAACAACTGTGTTTCCCTATGCACAGACAGCGGGTAGCAGATTGCAAGCACTTCCACACACAGATGGCAGCAGAATTGCTGCTTGATGCTACAAAGGACACTTGCACAAAGCTTTCAGAAAGACCTGGTCAGAAAGGGGCAATATTAAGAAGATTCTATTTTATTACTCTAGTTTTGAACTGATTTCTTCTATGCTTTTGATACCAGAGACGATAGGGATGGAGTGGTTTAAAAATCAGATTTATTCACTGCTTTTCTGGAACAAGGAGCTGGTTTCAGGCTTGGGTCCCAGATGGTACAGTATTAAGTTGCACACCTGGCAGGGGAAAACAGCTGTTCCTTTGGAACGGCAGGTTCGCTGGGGTGCCCCCCCTCAGCCCCATCTCTGATTGATAAGTCCTTTTGGCAAGGAGATGCACAGACAAAAAACATCTCGTAACACAAATGGGTGGAGGCAGAAAAAAAGCATGATGTGGGCACAACAGGTGAAATGCAGCTAGGTGTTCTTACCAGACATGAGCAGGGAAGGGCTGCCACAGCGGGTCACGTCTGCCTGGTCAGGCCATGGCTACGGAGGAAAACACAGAGTCACCATGCTGCAGGAAGGAACAAGAACCTCTCGGCCTCCTCCCAGCCAGGAGCAAAAACCAGCTTCACCATCAGGTCTGGAAGCACTGAACAGATCAGAGACTCTGCTATGAATCCTAGCCACAGCAGCCTGTGGCAACGGAGACTAGATTCCAGCAGGCGCCCGAAGTGCTCCGTGGGACTCCTGACCCACAACGGGCTCCTGGCTCAGGTTGTCAACATCCCAACAGACCCCTTACTCGGTGAGAAAACCCCCAGCCCCTGCTCGCGGAATTAGCTCATCTCGCTCCCTCTGGGATGATAGAACGCCACCACGCTAGTTGCAACTTTCCCCACTGCTTCTCCCATCTCTGGTCTTTGCTCCCTCACTTCTCCACAAGCCACGTGACAAAGCCCCCCTGTCATCCAGAGCCATATTCATGTGGTCCCCTGCAAGGGCCCTCCCTGACCTCGTGTGTCATGCCTGTGTATTCTGCAAATTGCAAATCCCTTCTCCGTCCTTCAGAGAACTGCAGAGATGAGCGAAAAGGAAATGTACAGGAGCAACATTCTCCAAGCTGAACTTGCTTTATGCTGCAGCTCGTCCTGGAAGGTCTTTAAGGGAGGGCCCTCATAGCTATACATCACTGGCATACAGAAATAAACCAGGACAACCACATGAAGACTTCAGTATCAGAAACTCTGCCAACCACACTCCAAATGCCAGGAGCCCTTCTCTGACACGTCTTCTCTGCAGAGCTGCATGGCCCTTTGAAACAAAACCAGCACACCCACCCAAACTCCTCCCCTGCAACTTACTTCTCCGTACATCCTGAAACAAGGGCCAGTGGAAACAAACCAGCTGACAGATGTCCATTAGACCACATGAAGCAAGACTGGAAAGCACTCAGACTACAAGGATGGGGACAGGATACAAACCTGTGTAGCCGAGAACAGCAAGGGGTGGGGGGCATGGTCAGCGTGCACCTTATCTAGTAGCACCCAACACTTACATTACTAACATCCCCAACAAGGCAGCGACAGTCTGAAATGCACACTCACCTTCTTGTCAGGGCAAGTCACCTCTCTGGCAGGTGCAGGCTTAATCCATTGCTTTATGTACAATCTCAGCTTTCACTCCAGGGCTCACAACCACCTAGGAGGGTCATAACCACCTGGCCCACTTCAAACACCCCTGGCTCATCTGCCAGAACCTTCCCCTCAGCTGGCTACAGGTAATGTTCCCGATCCTAACAACTCAGCAATTCACTTCAGTTTGCCATTTGATAGCCATTTACCAGTTGTTGCTTTCTTTTCTCATTCACTCTCCATGTTGTCTTGGGCGTAGGGCAGCACAGCAACAGGGAAAGGGAAAAATGTTTTAGATGGTTTTCAGATGCTGGATGCATGCATGGATCTGTGGCACTTATCACTGCACTGATGAGCCCGATGGTCTGGACCAGGAGCTGGCTATACAGACGCGCATCACCCTATACCGGTGCAACAGCTGCTCCAACCTTTCTCCTCCAGGATTTAGTGCCTAAGCCTAGCCATCAACTGAGCCAGCAGGCTCCTCATCCTCTAGATACTGACCCCTGGGGTGCAGAAAGTTATATTCAAATATTCTTTTTTAATTAAGCCTATTTGGAATTCATTATGAAATCCTAAGTTAAAACCTACATTTGCTACAATCTATTACAATAGTTTAAATAAACAGGCTTTGTCAATAACCCTTCCTCAAACATTACCATGTTAAGGATACTACTATTTTTAGTTACATGCAGAATGAGGGGGAAACATCTTTAGTTTCTCAGGTCAACTTATGCTTTAGAAATGTGTCACAACGTAACAGATACTCGATTCAGCCCGTGATTTCCAGTCTACAGCGAAGGAAATGCAATTGTTTATGCTTTTCCAGATGTCAGTACTTTCATTTTCTGTTGTGGAGAAAAGCTTTTGCCTGAATTCCTTTGCATTTCAGTTTAGCTGGCAGGTACAGAGAGACTATTTTCTTCATTTGCACTAGCTCATTCACAAAGTTCAAAGTGACTAGGGGCTGGAGTGGTGTTGTAGCCCTGGGGAGTTAGGAAATCTGCAGGCAGCAAGGGGTCGTTGGTGATATCTGTTACTGGGCAACTGTGGCGAGACAAGCTATCGGGCACAAAGAGCCCTCCCTCCGGTCGGGTCGGGTCGGGTCGGGATTGAAAGAGCAGGAAAACTGGTTCTCTTCCAAGGTAAGAAGGTAATCCAGGTGGGACACAATGAGATCTACTGTTCGCCACAACTTGAAGGACATGGTATTTATATACCTAAAATGCAGAGAACTACCTAATAGCTGCTTTTGAAAATCCTAAACACATTAGGACATACCTCTCATGGATTTCTGCACCTACTGGCCTGCCCAAGATGCTTGCCTTTGAAAATGCCACTGAGAACTTCTCTGTCACAGGGTGACCAGAAACAAATTGGTCAATTCACTCACTACAGTTCATGCTTCCTCTGTTTAATACATTGGGTTCTCTTTTAAACGTAAAAATTTGTTTTAAATAAAAAAAAATAAAAAAAGTGTATATACCCAGTATATTTAAGGCAGTTTTAATTGGCTAATAAAAAAGCAGCGTTTTAAATGGAATTTCATGTATTTTCATTTCCATTCAAGTTGATATAAGCCACAAGAAAGAAGACTAACAAGGAAATGCATAATTTATCATTTCTAACATAAATCTAGAACTATCAAAAATTAAGAATTTGAATAAGTGCAGGTTAAGATATATAATTGCTTAGAAAAATCGCATACAGATTTTGCGCATCTTCCTGGCTAGCAAAGAATACCAACTTCAGTGTAAGAGCTACATTTAGTTGCAGATCAATGTGTTTTTAAATTGTTACCCTCCAATTAAAAGGAGCTACTTTTCTAAAGAAAGACTAACAGCACAAACACAAAACAAAGTTAAGACTGACGGTTTAAATCACAGTTTACTCCTTAGTAATTAATTAAGTCCACCTTCTGATTCCCAGTGCTGCTTCATTGCTGGGCTGGCACAGCAGGATACAAACTCAGCTGGGAGGAGGAGCAAGGGTAGGATCGGGGCCTGGGGAGAGAGAAGATTGACCAATGCATCCCCCTAGGCCTGAGCGCGGGCAGCAGGGAGGAGCGCATCACGCAGCTCCTCTGTGGAAGGCGACTGGAGCCTGAAGCAAGGCAAGGACAAGGACAAGGACAAGGACAAGGACAGGAGCAGTCCTGGAACTGCTGGTTTCAGAGGAAGAGATCGAGAAGCTGATGGCCGCTCAACCGCTCCGATTGCAAGTTAGCTGCCCCAGCACAGTGACATTACAAAGAGCAACTTGTTGACTCCAGCACGTGCTGCTGTTGCTCCTGTCTCTGGAGCCCGCGGCTCCCGCACCCCAGTCTGTCCTGCTCTGGCCATAGGGACGGGGCAGCAGACCTATGGCCAACTGCGATTATAGCTGGGCTGGGTTCATGCTACTGCTTAAGAAAATGCAAACAGCAGCAACGGTAGAGACTGCAGTTACACCCCAAAGGCAACAACCGAAGGGGTGACTGGGAGCAGTGAGGGAGCAGAGGCTGCCCGACCTGTAAGAGACCCTCGCCAGGGTGCAAGATCATCTCAGCGTGCTTAATTTGTTTGGGAGAATCTCTCTGGTGTCGGGAGAGAAACCAGATCCGGACTGTTACAAAAAGGCCACCCCCGTAGGGAGGATGCAGGGGCTCCCCCTCCTCCTCCTCCCTGAAGAAGCTCCGTTCCTATCCCGGGGGTCACAAAGCGCTCCTCCAAGGAGACGCCTCTGAACCCCACCAGGCACGGCCATCGCCCATCGGCCAGCAGCCCCCGGCCCCGGCCAGAGCTCGTGCCGCGGGACGGAGCTGCGCGGGGACGCCCAGGGACCCCGCAGCGCCCGGCGCCGGCCAGACCCGCCTTGTTTGCGGCAAGCTTCGCCCGCAGCTCCCCCAGCCCGGGCGGGAACCGCCACCCCCGCCCG